GAAGAAAATTTCGTAGATTTTTTTTATAAAAAATTGAGTATTTTGAAATTATTTGGTACTGTTTTAAATTAAATTGAAATGGGATTTTTCTTTTAAAATCTTTTGGGGTTGTAGAAAACTGGTGTATAGGGGATACTCAACAAATTTGTAGTATGATAATCCTTGTTACTTTAATTGAATGAATAAATTTGTCTTTCATCAAAAAAAAAATTTTTGGGGATCAAATATCTAATACTTCATTTGTTTATGTAAGATAATTTAAAGTTTTTTTTGTTTGTTTCAAAATATAATTTTTTTACGTATATATGTAAAACTTAAATACATTTGGTACTTTATGAAACTTTGTATTCTGTAATTTTTATGATTAATTTTTTTTTTATATAACTAAATACTAAATTATGTTTTGAAAAAATATTAGTTCTCACATTTTAGCTAAAAAGTTTATATATATATTTTTTTTGGCGGAGCTAAAAAGTTTATATTTATATGTTAAAAACGGAAGGTGTGTAACAAAATACTACAATAAACTATGTTAGTAGAGATTTTCGTCAGTCATAAATTAATAATGATAAATAGCGGGTCAATATGATTTACTAATCACTTCTCGTTAAACGCATAACTCGTATTTATTTATTAAATTTTCCAAAATATATTCTTTTACTAAAATTCACCTCTATAATCAAATATTGTTGAAGTGAATGGTCAAAGTGATTTTCTAAAAACATAGCAACACGTAGTTATAAATATAGTAGTTTGGTTTTTAAATATATTGCTAGGTTGGAACACAAAGCTAAAAAGAAAATTACAAAAACATATGAGAAATTTCAGATGCATGCATGTGCCTAGTGGGATTCCAGCTCTGCCATTGACACAACATGAGCCATAAATATATATTATATGTGATATTTTTCAATCTAACTTTAAAAATAATTTCATATCATCGTGTGCTCGTGTGTGTTATATATATTCGATCGTAAATAGTTATCCTCATTGTAATTAAAAAATTTATCTATCAAAACTAGCATATATTTATGCATAATTTTGTATGTTAACTTCATCAAAAGCTCTTTTTGTTTATTATTAAAGTGTTAAAGGTAAGTGTTTGAACGAAATTTTTTTGGGTGAGATTTATAAACCTCTACTGATTGTACCACTTTGTACTTTGTTTTTTTTTTTCAATACTAGAGATACAAGACCAAAAAGGAAACATGTAATGTGGAAGTTATTATTAAGAGTTTTCTGCAAATAAATCTTCCAAATGGTTATGATTTACGATTTTATCTTTTAGGTTAATTAAATGCAGGTTATGGTAAGAGCCAACCTGCAATATAACCTTTTAAATTTTTCAAACCACAAAATTT